AAGGGTCGTGATACTTCTAATTCCATGTAATTATTGGCTATATTGCCTAGGCTGGTCTCAAACTTCTGGCCTTAAGCAGTTCTCTCACCTCAGTCTTCTAAAGTGCTGTGATTACAGGCATGAGCCACCATGCCCAGCCTAAAGCAGTTCTTAATCACAGTACAAAGTACTGCTTTAAATGTCCTTCTTGCCGGTAGTGTTCTATAGCTATATCAAACTTCATGGCTCTTTCTAAATTGCATTCCAGTTTATCCAAAGTGTCTGTAAGTCTGAAGTAAATGATATATTTCATCATTTTTAAAAACACTTTTTCAATTGAATATAGAATAATTCTATATTCCATAATGAAATCTGCTAATAATGGGCTCTTCCAGAGATTTATTTTGGGATATTTTATTATTTTCAGTAATTCATAAAGTATAAAGCCTTCTTAAATTGGCAAATTGTACTACATTCTTCTGAGTATTGACATGTCAACATGAAAGAGAAAGTTGTAGTTAATGCCATGGGCTAGGTTTCATTTTTTAAAAACACGTTAGCTTTGACATGGTAAAATACGTACAGTGTATTTAGAGAAGTAACCCAGAGTTTAAATAAAAATAGAAAGATATCTTTGATACACACACACACACACACACACACACACTCTGTAGATGTATAAGGATATGCGTATCTGTGCTATCAGTTATATCCAAGAAGAGGGCTTCTAAAACATTTTCTAAATTTTAAGCCTAACGTGCTGTTCTGCACCCAGAAGCAGACACTTGTGCTGGGTTTTTATCAGGAAAGATACTGGAAACAAAAGCATTTTTCACTTCCAGTTGCCAAACTTTAAAACGTGTGGCTCTAAAATGAGACTAAGGGATGAAGGATCTTCCCTATGAGAAAAGTCTAAAAGCTCTAGACTTTCACTTAAAAACAATCGAGACTGAATGTCGATGCCATCACATGGGCTGTGCACGAAGCGTGTGCAGTCTCCTTCACCACAATAACAAGAATATGTCTCGAAGCTCTTGGACATAGCTTTATGGACAAAAACAGACCCTCCCCCCCAAATACTACTTTTAAACCTACCTCTATTGAAAATAAAGTTTTCAGAAGAGTTTGGATGAAAGTTTCATATGAATTTTAGAGCAAAAACTGCATAGCCCTGTTAACGAGAGGATGGGCAGGTTGTTTCAGTATTCTTTCCAGTGCGGTCCACTGCCAGAGCTGAGGGAAGTAGGGACGTTCAGGGTGTTCTCCGACCCTTTCTTGGGTGGATAGCTACAAAGCTCTACATACAATAGGTCAGACCTCGTATTTCCCTTTTTCTGTATTTGTGGGATGGCCAGGAATATAGAGATACATACGTATGCAATACTGTTTTAATTCAGTTGTAGATTTTTCTCTCCTTCATGTCAGTTGCTTATTAAGTAATAGCATCAAAGAAATTAGAAGTAAGTTGAAGCCGACCGTAACTTGACTAGGCTCCTTGATCAACACCTCTGCCTGGTGTTGTGCTGACGGTGACAGGCGGTCGCTTGTGGCTGTCGCCAGGCCGCTGCCATGTGCCTTTCTCTCCACAGAGCCCAGCACTACATCAACATGCCGGTGCAGTTCAAACCCAAGTCGGTGGGCACATTCGAAGCTTTACTTGTCATTCAAACAGACGAAGGCAAGAGTGTTGCTATTCGACTAATTGGTGAAGCTCTTGGAAAAAATTAACTAGAATACATTTTTTGTAAAGTAAATTACATAAGTTATATTTTGGTAACTTCATTTTTCTACACTACAATGATGCTTTTTGTATATATTTTGTATGATAAATTGAGTATGTATAACTGTAGATTTTTTTGTTTTTAGAAACTAATACTGAAGACTTGACTAAAATATCATGTATCTAGCCTGCAGTATTGTACTTAACTTTTATAGGAGAGAAGAAAATTCTATTTTTGCATTGATTATGATATTCTGAATAAATATGACATATATTTTAATGTGGTACATCCAGAAATTTTCCATTGAACTTGTCATTTTCTATGGTGTCATACAGAAATTAGAATATCACCTTATTCTGCTAATTATTTTCAAGCTTCTGGGTCTGTTCTGTGATTTTTTTCCTCCATTGCAGTTTCCTTTCCCCTAAGAAATTCCTTCTCTGTTCCTTCTGTATTTTAGTTAGTTCCCCAGAGTAGAAAGGACAACTTACTTTCAAAGCTGTTCTTCTCCAGACTGGGGGGGAAGTCTTCATAGTCTATGCAAATACAGTAGAGAGATTGATATATTTTTAAATGTCATTTATTATAATTAAAGCTAGACAGGACAACTGCTCCAGAATCCAGTGTAGAAGGGGCAGGTCCCAGTGGGACACAGGGTGAGGGAAAAAGCGGCAGGTTCCTGAGGGGCCAGGACACCCCTCCTGTGGTGCGGGCTTGGGCCTTGGCAAGCTGGAAGTAGAGGAGGCAGTATGGTTTTACCAGGAGGGACGTGGTGTTCACTGTGTTTCTGACCATTGCTGGTGAGTCTCCCAGTGAGGTTTTCTGAGCCCGAGCTAACAGCCTTCCCCTTTGGAGCAAAAAAATCCCAGATTTGTGTAGTAGCTTGGGGTGACCACAAGTGGATATTATTGGTGGAGCAGAAAGACCTTGGGGTTTACAAAAAGCTGCCTAGGTGACTAACCCGATTACAGTTAAGACCAGTAATTGTGAAGTTGATAGAAAATCAAATCCTTTCTTTCCTCTTCCTCTTCATTTTAGTTTTGCCTAGAAATTCTTGCTTAGCAAATTTGTGAAAACATTTTTTCCACGAGTTAAATAGGTAACGCTCTTACTGATCCTGCCTGACTCCTGTTCTAGGTTTTGTGCATCGAATGTGAGATGACTTCATGCTTGATTGTGTATTTGACAACATTCAGCCTCAAAAATTCTAGAACAGTGGTAATTCATTTTTAAAACTGTCTGCCATGGTCTTTCGATTCCTAAGGGTCGTGATACTTCTAATTCCATGTAATTATCAATTTGCCTTTTAGTTTATACTCAGGAAGTCAAAAAAAAAGGTCAAACAAGAACAGAAAACTTTAAAAGTGACTCGTCTTTAAAAGTGAGTTCCTATGGATCTCCGTATTTTAGAAACATGGCGCGTGGAGTTTTAAGAGCAGTTCAGTGTGAGCAAATGACTGGTGCAAGCAGTCGTCACGCCCGAGCCGCTGCCTGCAGAGCTGTCTTCGTTTCGGCTGCCAGCGCGGAAGAGCAGTGCGTGGGCCAGGCGGCACCCGCAGCTCTGCTCTGACGAGCCCTCCATCTGGAAGCTGTCTCTCCTCCTTCCCATCCCTGAGTCTTCACCTCGCCTCTGAGCTCCAGACTCAATGTCCCACTGGACATTTCCGCTTGGCTATGGGACAGGTGTCTCGGACTTCAGATTTCTTCCCTGCCTCACTTGGGCTTCTCCCTGCTTTTCTTGTCTCTGCCCATCAGTTACTCTTCACCCCCACCCCTCACGTTGGCTCCCTCCGAAACATCCGTCTCAGCATTTGTCATGGTAGCCTGAGCCCCTGCTATCCCCGAGGCCACTGCCGTCGTGTCATCACCGCCTGCTGTGCTTTCAGCTCTGGTGCCCTCTCTCCACCCACAGGCAGAGATGTTCTAACAAATGCAAACCAGAGCCTGCGCCCCTGCTCATGT